TGCTGAGAATGGACCAGAGTACAACTCTGATAATGAACTTCAAGATGTGGAGGATGTCTTGAAAATATGTTCTAGTTTTATTATGAAATCAGAAGGTGTGTTTAGAAGAATAACAGATTGAAATGGGCACTGACTATTAGATAGGCTTCATCAAGCTTTCCCACTTTTCTGTAAAGGAATATCTAATATCCCAGTATATTCAAAGCCATCATGTGAAGCAAGTCAGATACTTTAGTTTCAGTGAGGAGCTATCACACTCTGTCATATCTCAAATCTGTCTGGCCTATCTTCTGCAATTCAATACATCTGAGCCACTTGATATCAATCTGGATCTATCTTCCCCTCTTGCAAAATATGCTGCAGAACACTGGATCACACATGCACATTCTGGTTGCCAGTCATCTTCAATATTTGCATTGATCTGACAGATGAAGATAATGCTTTTGTGAACTGGATTCGAATTTATGATATAGATACATATGATATAGATCTACAAAGACATAGGGATGAGATTGCTAAACCACTATATTATGCATCACAGGCTGGACTAACTGAAGCATCATATGTTTTGTCAGAAATGACGACAGATATAAATGCACAGGGAGGACACTATGGAAATGCACTCCAGGCAGCATCACATGAAGGCCATGAGGCAATTGCAAAGCTGCTCATAGACAAGAGAGCAGATGTAAATGCACAGGGAGGACACTATGGAAATGCACTCCAGGCAGCATCATGGAAAGGCCATGAGGCAATTGCAAAGCTGCTCATAGACAAGGGAGCAGATGTCAATGCACATGGAGGATCCTTTGGAAATGCACTCCAGGCAGCATCATTTGGTGGACATGAGGCAATTGCAAAGCTGCTCATAGAGAAGGAAGCAGATGTAAATGCACATGGAGGATCCTTTGGAAATGCACTCCAGGCAGCATCATTTGGTGGCCATGAGGCAATTGCAAAGCTGCTCATAGAGAAGGAAGCAGATGTAAATGCACAGGGAGGACACTATGGAAATGCACTCCAGGCAGCATCATGTGAAGGCCATGAGGCAATTGCAAAGCTGCTCATAGACAAGAGAGCAGATGTCAATGCACATGGAGGATCCTTTGGAAATGCACTCCAGGCAGTATCATTTGGAGGCCATGAAGCAATTGCAAAGCTGCTCATAGACAAGGGAGCAGATGTCAATGCACAGGGAGGATGGTTTGGAAATGCACTCCAGGCAGCATCATTTGGTGGACATGAGGCAATTGCAGAGTTTCTCATAGAGAAGGAAGCAGATGTAAATGCACAGGGAGGACACTATGGAAATGCACTCCAGGCAGCATCATTTGGTGGACATGAGGCAATTGCAGAGTTTCTCATAGAGAAGGAAGCAGATGTCAATGCACAGGGAGGACACTATGGAAATGCACTCCAGGCAGCATCATATAAAGGCAATGAGGCAATTGCAAAGCTGCTCATATACAAGGGAGCAGATGTACATGCACAGGGAGGATACTATGGAAATGCACTCCAGGCAGCATCATATGGAGGCCATGAGGCAATTGCAGAGTTGCTCATAGAGAAGGGAGCAGATGTATATGCACAAGGAGGACACTTTGGAAATGCACTCCAGGCAGCATCATTTGATGGACATGAGGAAATTGCAGAGTTTCTCATAGAGAAAGAAGCAGATGTAAATGCACAGGGAGGACACTATGGAAATGCACTCCAGGCAGCATCATGTGAAGGCCATGAGGCAATTGCAAAGCTGCTCATAGACAAGGGAGCAGATGTAAATGCACAGGGAGGATGGTTTGGAAATGCACTCCAGGCAGCATCATATGGAGGCCATGAAGCAATTGCAAAGCTGCTGATAAAGAATGGGGCAGATGTAAATGCACAGGGAGACAGCTATGGAAGCGCACTCCAGGCAGCATCATATGAAGGCTATGAGGCAATTGCAAAATTGCTCATAGAGAATGGAGCAGATGTAAGTACTAGTTAGATGCACCCAGGGTATTAAAGAACAGGTTATTATGCAGGACATGGAATAGTGAAGATTTTATGGAGGATCAGGATGAAATGGAAAGATATCTTGGATGCTTAATCATTATAACTAATGTCAAGATACAAGCATACATATTTAGTACATTTTGTGTAAACAAACATTGGAATAAAGTTTTGTGACTTAATCAAAGTTTTTGCAATGGTATTACATCAAGGGGGGTCCAGGATTTGAAAATGCCATATAGGGATGGTTAGTTAGTCCTGCCAACAGGCTGTCAAAAAAAATTTGACCTCCTATATTTTTCACTCCAATTGGCCTGGAAACAGTCTGAATCCATCCAAATCGTCAAGCTTTTTGATCCAGAGATCAAAGGACCAGTATGTTAAATGGAAAGATAAGATTGTGCACCAAAATATATGACACAACTAATAAGATGTCAAGTAATATGTCCTTATTGCAAGACAGTGGTCAATTGGATTCGCAAACTACCTCAAAAGGCACAAACCCAGTCACCAATATTGCCCACCCCTCAGACTCCATCATGTCAAAATCTTGTGTCTGAAAACCACTGTGTTGTTGACAGGGTTGTGCATGCCTAAGCATTGACATACTTCCAGACACAATCGAGCTTGCTGGCATTCACTTGCACAGTTCTCTGGAAGCTTCAAGGGAACAATCCCTGAAACAAACGAAGGGAGTGAGATGTTTGATGTTCTGAGGGAATGCCAGATCACGACATTATGACATAATATTTCTATATTTGGAAGTATATTCCCACACATAGTTAGTTACACTTGAGACAACATGTAATCATAGGCACTCAAAGCTTTGGAATAGCCTAGAATCCTTGTTTTCATGAAATATTTGCTCTCAATTTCTATGTATGGTGACGGATTTGTACATTCATCATATTCTAGGGACTGTCCATGGATACACCTGGGTAATAGTCATATCTGATCTGTGGATTGGATAAGCCACAGTACAGATATATCTGTGGGTATAGTGGCTCAGAGCAGCCCTCCATCTATCTTCACGAGTTCTTCACCATTTTCCATGAAAAAATATGCGTTGGAAAGCTCTCCTTTGGGAGATTTTTATTCTAATAAATATCCTATGTGAATATTAGTAGAAGCTCATTATTTAATAACAGTGGAAAATGATATGATCATGAAAATATTACCAGCATCCGCATGAAGAGCAAACATCATGATTCAGACATAAAGTGAGTCTTAAAAGTAGTGACAAATTAAATATAGTCATCCTAAATTATATTATCTAGCTGTCATCAGCAAAATTCATGCTTTGTCAGACTCCTTCCATTCCCAGATGTTTGAAAACATCCCAAATTCTTTTGGAGAAAGAATTTTTAGTTTCATTTCCACTATCAAATTAATTTCACATTTTTTTTATTGCTCTTTATGCATACTGTTAATGATTGGATGCAGGATGAGCATCAAATACCATTATAAATGCTAGTGTAGTCATACTACTTACCTAAGTGTTATACATGATTTGGAAGGTTCATAAAGTATAAGCACTTTATATATTTGCATCATATTTTGTATGAAATACATATAAGTACCCCAACCACTGTAAGAATTTTTGATGCTCACAGATGGGTATGGTATGCATTTGTCACTGATCTGCCATATACACATTTTCTTTCTGACCTGTTAAAGATGTTGTTAATTTATTCAAGACCAAATTAATCTCCGTATAGCATTCAAGTCAAAAAAATGTAACATAGTCCATTCTATGAATGCATATATAGTGTGGAATAATAAAATCAGAGTAAAATACAAAGGAAAAGCTGAAGAAATAATTATATTTCGATGAATTCTTGTTCAAATTTATCAAAGGGTGTTTTTTATTTTAAGAGGGAGTGAGATTGATGAGTTCCACAGGCTTACAAAGGGCAGCGGTGCATTGGAGCTGCTCCTGCCAAGGTTGTCCAAATATAGCATATGGATCACAGATATCCACGGATTTCTATATATATCCATGGGTCTGATCCGTGGATAACGGGTATCAGCGGCCATGGATAATACCTGGTTTTTGCTGATCCATGACAGTCCCTATCATATTCTGTCAAACAAAATTGTCTCATAGATCCTAATTGTTATTTCCTGGGCCAAAGCAAAAAATTATTCTAAATAACAATTAGAATCTATGAGACAATTATATGGTTCATGCTTATTTTGGAACTGATTACTTTTTTTATTATAAGTTTGTTTGACACAATATGATGAATATAAAATTCCATCACCATACATAGAAATTGAGAGCAAATATTTCATGAAAACAAGGATTCCAGGCTATTCCAAAGTTTTGAGTGCCTATGATTACACATATGTAGCCCTACATATTTGTCACTGTCTCAATTGTTAGTCCAGCCATCGAGGCCTTAGAAAAAAACTCAACCCCATATGGTTATCAAAAATCCTGGACCCCCCTTGTATTACATTTTGAAATCTGATATTGGAAATAATTGGATGCAGCTTGCAGAAAAGTGTAATGTTTTACTATACTGTTTTGTTTTCTAGTGAGTGAAAAGTCCTAACATTAAACCCAAGCATCAGCACTGTTATAATATTGGAGGGCTATATATAAGTAAAGCCAGTCAGAGAAAGTGCATGGTACCAGTATGGTTAACCACCAACTCTGAGGGGGACAGCCCCAATCTTTGTTTTTCTTTTTTTTTGGCTTGACTTTTGAATGGTGTGTATCACCAACTTGAAATACAACACATCATCAAGACACAGATATGATATACAAAAAAAGGCATTGAAGTAAAAAAAAAACTGAGGTAATATAAAAACCAAGCATCAGTACTCTCATATCATTGGGAGGGTATAAGTAAAGGAAGTCAGAGGTACATAGCATATCAGTCATCCCGGATCCACACCCATTAGTCTCTGTCCTTCTTCCATCCCTTCCTTCATCCCAGACATTTGTCCATCCATCCCGCCTCCAAACAAAAAAAAGAACCTTCTCCCACCCACCCAGCCTATGTCCTCCCCCCCTTCTCCCCATCAAAAAACGCAACCAACTGCCCAATCGGAACCTTCCCCACCGGCTTCGGCATCGGCATCTTCACCTGTAACCCCTCTTGACTTTGCTGATGCCTCCTCAACAACAAAGGGTCCACGAACTTGGTCCCCCCTCCACCAAGACCACCGCTTATCATCCCGTCTCCCATCCCAATGGAGCTGGTACCGGAGGAAAGTCGCTCAGAAGACCGGGACCTCAACTTCGGCTTTAGCGGCGCGGTGGTCCCCATGGTAGGAGTCTGTAATGGAGTCTGAGGAGGGAGGAGGCTAGCGTACCCATATGCACTCTGTGCCCTGATCCGACGAGTGGATGGCGATGGTGACGTAGTTGCTGTAGACTTGTAATCACCGCCCCCAGGTCCACCAGGCAATATCGAGTTTGAGGTGGTGGAAGACAGACTCCCATTCGCGTTCTTGAGCTTGATGCCGGAAGATTTGCCGATTGTCTCTTCACCTTCTCCGAATTCACCTGCTCCTTCCTCCTCTTTCTTCTTGTCGTCGTCATCGTCCCCTACGGGAGAAACGGAAAAAGACCCCCCAATCACACGGGAGTACGACCATGGTGTGCCTACCCTTTTCAATAGAGGAGCAGTAGCAGGTGCATCCGTACGGGTATTAGTATTCGCATTGGTATTGGCGGCGGTATTGGCAGCGGTGGTATAGAACAAAGAAGCAGCGTTCGAAGAAAACTCATCCTCGTCAGGTGGCGCAGTTATCGGCCCTCCAAGCGCAACGGTGTACCGTTTCCTTGGCGTGGGGCTTACACTCGTCTGTCTTTTCCCAGCAGCCGATTTCGGGGGCGGCAATCCTTGTTGTGCTGTTCGTCCCTTCGCTGGTGCGAGCGTTGGGCTCGACGTTCGATTGGCAGAAGCAGAGGCAGGAGCGAACTTGGGTTGAGCAGGCGGAGACGGCGGCCTACCCGTACCGGAAGCCAGTGAAGAAAGTGAGGTGGTGGAATATGAAGCACCCGGTAGTGTACCCAGTCCTGAGGATGAATGGAGGGGTAGTCCCGAAATGGCCATAGACAACGGCCTCATAGCGGAACTAATCGACGAAGGGGTAGAGTTACTAGGGGAGAACGTATCTGGCGGAGAAGAATAATCCCCCGCAGGGTACGGTAACCTTGTGCCCGACTCTCTCCTCTTCGAAGTCTTGGGGGGACTTGTAGATTCTCTCGCAGTGGTACTCGATAATCTGGGATGGTGGATGGGCGTGCTGGGTGCTGACGGAGACCCGTGAAGTGCGTGGCAACGGAAGACGTCGCTTGCGAGTGCGTGACGATGGAGGAAGTGGTTTGTGGTGCTACAGATACAGCGGCGGACTGCGTTCTCGGTCCCGCAGAAAGATTATTGGGGGCCGTCGCAATTTTCGCCATCTCCCGACCTAGCTCGCCTAGTCGGCCTTGGAGCTCAACAACTTCGTCCCGGAGGTCGTGGATCTCATCTTTCATGTTGTCCGTCGGACCTGCGTGTCTTAGCCACTCGGAATCGGATTCCTTCTCCTTCTCCTTCTCTTTTTCCTTCTCTTTTTCTGCTTCCTTATCGACTAACCATCTCTCGACATCGTTCATCCGATCTTCCAGAGCCCAAACGTGACCCACGGTCCATTTCTCAAGCTTCTCAAAGCGTTTGACTATCGTGAGGAGTGTGCCTGATACGTCTAGCGTTCCTTGAGATGTGAACTGTGCGTACAAAGGTGGAGCCTCGCGAGAGGGGATGAAGACAATGTATCAGATGCACGCATGGGAGACGGCGTCAAATTAGGTGGCATATTTGATAGACTCGGACGAGAAGGGGTAGGCGAAGACGGGGAAGAAGAAGGTACGGGAACGCGTCGGACGGGTGTCGTTGGAATGTTGAGATTGACGAATGCTGGATCGGTAAATTTGCCTTGGGCGTTTGCGGGCCATTCTTTCTCTTTCCCCTTGCCTTTGGCGTTCTTCTTGTTATCCTTGTCCCTTGCCTTTGCGTCCAATATAATTTGCTGAGCAGGCGTCGGAGGGTCTTTCGTAGGCGTAAGCCTATTCTTCGCAGCAGACCACCAACTACTACCCGACTCTTTCTGCGAATTAGACGGAGATGGCGGATTGGGCATGGTTTGAGACCTCGAGGACGGAGGAGGGAGTGACTTTGCCATCATAGAGAGTACACGATCTTCAACGAGCCTCCTCTGCTGAGCCTCCCGCGTGAGTATCGCTTCCGCTTCTCTGCGACTACGGTCGCGTTCCATCTCAGCTTCACCTTCTAGCTCTGCATCGCTTAGCATATGTGATCGTGGTGCTGTGCCCCCTACAAATGTGCCCATCCTTTGAACGAAGCTGGCTGCGAGATGAGAGACCGATGAAGAGGGTGATAGGGAACGTTGCTGTTATGCCTCTTGGTCGTCCTCCTGGTCGTCGTCGTCGTCTGAGCCGTTTTCGGAGACGGAGTCTGTATCGATGCCTGTTGAACTGTCTGGAAAGAACGCGTTTCGGAGTGGCGAGGGTGGACGTGGTGATGGTGACCTCCCTCTCGGCTCGGAGGCTAAAAGAATGATGATTGATCAGTGGAATAGTTGCGATCTGATGTTCTCCAAGACATACAATAGAAAGGGAACCAGCAGGCGAAGTCATCCTTCGTTGCTGTCCACCATTCAAGCTCGACGACGGTGCTGGTGCTTGGAGGTTATTGGAGCAGATGTCCGAGTCAAGTCGAACGGAACGTGGGTCACACCAGGGTCACATTCTCTCCAAGACACCATGAGAGGGCTGATCCATCTTTGCAGTGTTCTTCGTTCCCAGTGAGGACGCGCACCAGTGTGAACACGTCATTCCGAGTGACATGCGACTGGAGAATTTGAACATCTGAGGGTGAGTTCGCGCTTCCTCTTATCTTCTTCTGGGGTCTAAATCTGTTTCCACTCTAGCTTACCGCGTCGGCGGGCCAAGCGAAGTTGACGACTGTATCAATTGCTCTTTGTTGCAGAGGACTCGCCCTATAACGCCCATTGCGCTCCATCTTCCATTCAGATGTACAAGAGGCTCGGAAGTGTTATCGCATCATCTCGACTCGCCAATGGCATGCCGCTCAAGATCTTTGACCTTTGATACGATCCGCAACGTCTATCTCCAGCCGCCGCGTCGCCTACGTGTACCAAGTAAACAACAAACGTTCTGAATTTCCCCCGTTTACCGTCATCGTGCCTTCTTCCTCGTTGTGGTGCGTTCATGAAACCGAGACACACGGCGTATTTCAATGGAACGTCGCATTGGAAGGGGAGGAAGTGGGTTCTTCGACTAGGATGTATACGATTCGTTCTATGAGTACGTACATCTTTTCTCCTCTCTCTTTTTTCGAAAACACGTTGCTGACACCGGCATACAGACCTACAAAGTCCACCCCGTTCTCATTTGCTCATGTCCTCTTCGACTCTATTCCACAAGACAGGCAAGGGCTAGCGCTCACCGCTTTCTCCGACCTTCTTTTCCCCTTCTCCTACTCGTGGCCAGCTCTGGGCTGCTGCACAAGATTCGTAATAGCTCGAAAGAAAGCCCTTGGTGGTAGACTCCGAGCGCATGGCCGAGCGGAGTATAGGCCAGTGCAAAATCCCGCCGTATGTGCTTACCCCGTTACCTCGTTCTTACTTGGATGGAGGATAGCAGAGAGAAAAACGGTTTCGGGATATTGGGTGTGGCGATCAAGAGCGATGATTGTCCTTGTTGGTGGCGCTCTTTTTGCAGGGCCGCCACGCCCTGTGTCGTCCTTTCGACTGTGGTAAGCATTCGCTTCCCTCGTTGTTCGATCTTTCAGTATTCAACGTTCAATTTCCATCCCCTGTAGCCGCTACCTCCACCTCCGTTGGTGATCGATGGAGGATTCGACTAGCCGCTTACCCTTTCGGTTTGTGCGTGGAATTAAGAACGGCCGTTGACAAAACCTTGTGCTGTGGAGTTCCTATCTGCATGGTAAGTCTCTCGAATTGGTTCCTCGATGATACGAACAACACCACCCCTTTGACAGAATGACTACCCTTATCAACGATCACGAAGAGCCTCCGGCTTGTTGAAACGATTTTTGACTGCAACTATCATCGTGATACTGGTGCCTTTCCTTTCAACTGGGCCATTCACGCTCGCAACGGGACTCTTCACCCTCCTGTGGTCCGTCTTCTTGGTTCTCCCTTTCTGTCCTTACTCATCCATCTTGTCACGGTGTCTGCTCTCAGCCGGTCACAATTTACTCTCTCTCCGTTTGTAGGGTATGGAAGTTTCCAACTTGGGTTAGCGTTTATTCGGGAGGTCGTAAAACAACTTACTGTGCAGAATCTACGCAGAAAGACCCATGGGCCATCTGTAGCATGCCGTATCGTGTACAACTCCCGCGCTACATACAAAACATGAAATTCTGTTTCCGCGACAGAGGTTATATGAAACTTGTAGGAGTAGGAAGTAATAGCAAATCAGTCAAACGTCTTGGCTTTGCCGACGTTGAAGCTTCAGAGTCGCGTGTCAAACCAGAGACTGGGGCTTGCAGCCAAAAAAACCACTACACCATCGAATACCGCTACCAAGATCTAGGCTGTACCAGACTTTACGCCCCTTCTCCTTTCCGTGGAGCAAAAGCAGAGCATACATGCGCACCCCAAGCAAACCTGTGGACAATTGTTGTGAGCACTAACCCGACGCATGCGAAGCATCCAAGCATGACCGACCTATGCGCAATAGCCACGCCCCCCCACCCTCCATGGAAGTCGGCGTCCGCGCGAGAAGAGACGAATGCCCTCCGATGAGTATGGTGTTTCTCACCCTAGGCCCTTGCCCTTGGTAGTTCGTTATTGGCCGTAGAACTATTGAAAAAGAAGGCAGGTGTCAGTACCCATCGTCGTCGGCCACGCGTAATCCAAACTTACAGAAGCCAATCAGCGGTGGGTACATCCGTATGTGTGACGTTGCGGCAGCCCGTGGCGGCGACGAGCTGCGGATGGATACGCACGATGGAGAATCTATGCGGTGTGAACGCCGAGTTCAGAGGTAATGATTGCTGGTATCACAAGCAGAGACTGGGGCCATTGAGTGGCATACCGTGTATGCCACGACACACAGAGCGTCGGGATGAGGTAACCGAAAAGCCCTGAGCACTGCGCGAGCATTTGGAGGGGCGAATGACTGAAAGCCACATAGCTGGGCGCGATCGATGAGACGATCGATGTGTGAGGGGTCTGCCTGCGGCCACTGGCAAAGATTCGATGTTCGACCAGTGAGCTTGGTATGGAGGCGAGTTCGTTAACAGGATTAGACAATGGCGAAATTTCCTTCGTGAATCGATACACGAGGGAATGTTGCGGTCATGGTGGAGGAAAGACGGTACAAGCATCGAAGTTGGGCTTGCATTGGGGTTATGAAACCAGAACCTGAGTAACGAACGGGGGAGTTAGCGAACGAAATATCCAATATATGCGAGGTGAAAAGGCATCCAGAGATCGAGGGAGGGATAAGGGTACGAATGAATGAGTAACGCAAGGGCGATAACTTACCAAAGGAGATATGGTTATCCCGACTCTCCAGCTCTGTGACTAAAGCTTGCAATCATGATCAGGTGGACGGCAGTGACCTAGCATGCTGTGTGGAGTTTTTCAAGAGGGTATTACCGTCGTCGAGCTAGGCATCGTTGAAAACGCCCGCCATGTCTGCAACGGAAGGGCCGTTAGGGCAGGCGTTGTCAACTTGCAAGAAAGAAATACTGACGATCAACTTGAGCTAACGGAGTTTCCTCCATGTTATTCAAAGTGGCTTCGAGCGGGTTACCGGGTTATCAGGTAGTCTAAGAAAGTCGATTGCAATCCTGTTGATAGCATAAACATCCAGTAAACTTTCCAATTTCAAGGTTTCAATTAGCGTACCCAAGTCGTACCAGTAGAGATCTGTGGTTTGCGGTCTTGTACGCATGGCGCTCGTAAACGAAATTAACAGGACCGGAACTGTCACAGAATTGTCAGCATATTAGACTGACGTGGGCAGACGGAAGAAGAGGGGTATGGTTGCGGCACAGAAGGGGAAAACGAGCTAAGGTAGAAAGGGGAGTAAATCTAACGGAAGGAGGAACTCACTCAGAGCCGATTCACTCGAACATCTTTAGCGCATTGCTTTGAATCTCAACAGCTCCCCGCTCTCTGTGGATCGGTACAAGTTGACGAAGGCGGTTATCGGGTTTCATTTTGATCACAGCGGGAGGTCGGGTCTCCAGGCGATGTCGCGACGGGAAGCTGGCCAAACAAAGAAAACATCGACTTGACAAGAACGATTTTGCAAGTAGCAGGGCCCATAGGTGGGTCGCAAGGTAATGAAAGAAAAGGGTGTGTTTAGTCGTCTTTCGCACAGCCACACGCAAAACAAGCACGACCGTGACCACGCATCTTCCTTTCGTTCGTCCCTTGGAGTTTCAATTTCCCTCAGTCTTGAGAGGCGTTCGTCGTTTTGCTTCTCTGACACACTTCTCCGTTGACCGCCATCCTTGTGGCCTGACTTGACGCCGAACCACTGTGGGAGGCAAGTGGGAGGGACCTCAATCAGGAACGTCAGCTGACTCTGTGAAACGGTCCGTTACCCATTTTGAAGATTGACGCCGCACAGCATCGATTCTCTCTTCTGAACCACCATGGCTGATCCCATTGACCCCCGCCAAAATCGTTTGAAACGCAAGCTTGTGGAATTGCCCGATGAAGGCACGATTGCTGACCACCCACGTAATAAACGCTATGGCGGTCTGAGGTAAGAGTTCATGATCTCGGGCTACTAGATAAATATTAATGTGAATCCGTCAGCCCCAGCACCGCCCCGCCTAGCTTGATAACTCCATCTTCAACCATCAGTGCAGTGGACATAGCCATGGCAGGCAGCAGTAAGATACATTCTAATCTTCCTGCATCAAAGTGAGCATTGATTGCTCATCAATTCAAATTTCCAGGTGATCAGGTTGATGTCTCCGCAGGTGGAGGGCTTGAGTGCTCGCAACAAGTTTTACCTATCTCCACTGGTTTGCATTAACCTCAAACCTCTGTCATTCGTCATTGGTAACACTGATATAGATATCCTGAGTTCTTACCTGCCTACCACTCTGTCAATCACCCCTGTTCTTGAAATGACTGTTGCCTGTGAGATACCCCTCAATCTCTTCACTGTAAAGTTCATACTAACCTTCATCAATTCTTATCTCACAGTTGATCAGATTGAAGGTCCCATGCAAGGAGCTGCTGATTCTTTGCAACACCCTTCTCCTATCTTGACAGGTTCATGCTTGCTTCAAATCTCTATATTCTATCTCTGATAACAATATTTAGATTTTCCAAGTTCTGACCTGCCTATCTCTCTATCCATTCCTTCTGTTAAAAATGCAGAACTGATGCCTACCAGTCAGTACTCTTATAGATATAGTTCAGGCTTGCTCAAATTAGACAGACCATGCAGAGTCCTCAACAAACTTACAAGCTAACATTATAAACAACATTTCAGCCCCAGTTCAAAATGTGAATACAGGCCCTAACTATGGTTTGTTGCATTTGGATTATCAGATTTTATTGCCTTCACTTATATTTTAATAGGTACCATCAATCAAGGTAAGTAACAAGACAAATATTATATTCATCTTAATGTTGTTTGTTATCAGTAGGTGTTGACCCAAATATTCAAATAAAACTTGAGATGTTTGGGGATAAGCAACTGGGTATTATTGCAGGTTCTTACTTCAAATGTGTAATTGAACTCACATCTTTGACACAGTGAATGAGATTTATCAGTGGCTTTCTCCACCTAAGGAGTCTGTTAACTACAATGCTGCACATGAAATTCTGGAGAGTCAACCAGACACTTGTCAATGGTTTCTCAATGGAAATACATTTTATGGGTGGCTCAAACAGCCTGGCTTTCTCTGGATCAAAGGAAAATGTAAGTTTTCTGTCAACAGTTGTAAATTTATACATTATTGACAGTCTATCTAGCTGGCTCTGGGAAAACTATTTTGAGGTTGATTATCTTAATATTTTTCATGAAATAAAATTGATTTTTCTTTACAGCTCAGCAATAATTCACAATATTTTCCAAAGATTCAATGCTGCCACTGCATATTTCTTTTTTGATGGCAGAGACTCACAGAAGGATTTCCAGCTGCATGACAAATTACTGCGATCACTCATCTGGCAGTTCTCTCTGAAATGTGAGGGTGGAGTGCATAAGGTCTTAGTGAATCTGTATGCTCACTGTGACAATGGTCATAAAGAGCCAACTCTGGGTGATCTGCAGAATACTCTTCAAGCAATTCTTGATGGCTTTAGTTCAACTTTCATCATTCTGGATGCTCTTGATGAATGTACTGAAAGAGAAAAGCTTCTTAACTGGATTCAGACTTTTATTCTTGAGAAAGATAAAAATCTTGGACTCCACTTGTTAGTTACTAGCCGTCCAGAACAGGAGATTGAGGACAAGTTCAAGTCTTCTTGTTATATTGACTTGGTTGAGGAATCTGAGAATCATGATCTTGTAGCCTATCTTGACTATCAGCTTCAGAATGACTCTGACTTGCAAAAATGGGACTCTGACACTCAAGAGGAAGTCAAGTTGAAGTTAATGGAACAAGCAGATGGAATGTATGTTTATTATCAACATTTGCATGACACAATGAGTGTTAAATACAATTTTAGGTTTCGTTGGGTTGCATTACAGTTAAATGAGCTGAAAAAGTGCTGGACCAAGGCTGATCTCAAGAAGCAGCTAGCTGATCTACCCCAGGGTTTAGATAAAACCTATGACAGAATCCTGCTGGGAATCAATGAAAAAGCTCATTGTTATGCTAAAACTTTTCTGCAGTGGCTGTCATTTGCTGTTCGTCCACTGACACTAAAAGAGTTGGCTGCAACTGCTTCTATTGATCTTTCTGCTGAGAATGGACCAGAGTACAAATCTGATAATGAACTTCGAGATGTGGTGGATGTCTTGAAAATATGTTCTAGTTTTATTATGAAATCAGAAGGTGTGGTTTAGAAGAATAACAGATTGAAATGGGCACTGACTATTAGATAGGCTTCATCAAGCTTTCCCACTTTTCTGTCAAGGAATATCTAATATCCCAGTATATTCAAAGCCATCATATGAAGCAAGTCAGATACTTCAGTTTCAGTGAGGAGCTATCACACTCTGTCATATCTCAAATCTGTCTGGCCTATCTTCTGCAATTCAATACATGTGAGCCACTTGATATCAATCTGGATGTATCTTCTCCTCTTGCAGAATATGCTGCAGAATACTGGATTGTACATGCACATTCTAGTTGCAAGAGTCAATATCAGTCATCTCCAATATTTGTATTGATGATGAAGCTTCTGACAGATGAAAATAATGCTTTTGTGAACTGGGTTAAAATTCATGATATTGATAGGCCCATTAGGGTGAATGGGGATGAGATTGCTAAACCACTATATTATGCATCACGGGCTGGACTAACTGAAGCATCATATGTTTTGTCAGAAATGATGACAGATATAAATGCACAGGGAGGATACTATGGAAATGCACTCCAGGCAGCATCATATGGAGGCCATGAGGCAATTGCAAAGATGCTCATACACAAGGGAGCAGATATAAATGCACAGGGGGGAGGAAGTATAGAAATGCACTCCAGGCAGCATCAATTGGTGGACATGAGGCCATTGCAAAGCTGCTTATAGAGAAGGGAGCAGATATAAATGCACAGGGAGGAGAGTATAGAAATGCACTCCAAGCAGCATCATATGGGGGCCATGAGGCAATTGCAAAGCTGCTCATAGACAAGGGAGCAGATATAAATGCTCAGGGAGGAGAGTATGGAAATGCACTCCAAGCAGCATCATGTGGGGGCCATGAGGCAATTGCAAAGCTGCTCATAGACAAGGGAGCAGATATAAATGCTCAGGGAGGAGAGTATGGAAATGCACTCCAGGCAGCATCATATGGGGGCCATGAGGCAATTGCAAAGCTGCTCATAGACAAGGGAGCAGATATAAATGCACAGGGAGGACAGTATGGAAATGCACTCCAGGCAGCATCATGTGAAGGCCATGAGGCAATTGCAAAGCTGCTCATGGACAAGGGAGCAGATATAAATGCACAGGAAGGACAGTATGGAAATGCACTCCAGGCAGCATCATATGGGGGCCATGAGGCAATTGCAAAGCTGCTCATGGATGAGGGAGCAGATGTAAATGCACAGGGAGGAGTGTATGGAAATGCACTCCAGGCAGCATCATGTGAAGGCCATGAAGCAATTGCAAAGCTGCTCATAGACAAGGGAGCAGATATAAATGCACAGGGAGGAGAGTATGGAAATGCACTCCAGACAGTATTATTTGGTGGACATCAGGCAATTGCAGAGCAGCTTATACAGAAGGGAGGATATATACATGTACCAGGAGGAAATGTTGGAAATGCACTCCAAGCAGCATCATATGGAGGCCATGAAGCAATTGCAAAGCTGCTCATAGAGAAGGGAGCAGATGTAAATGCACAGGGAGGATTTTTTGGAAATGCACTCCAGGCAGCATCATGGAAAGGCAATGAGGCAATCGCAAAGCTGCTCATAGAGAAGGAAGCAGATGTAAATGCACAGGGAGGATATTGTGGAAATGCACTCCAGGCAGCATCATATGGAGGCCAAGAAGCAATTGCAAAGCTTCTCATAGAGAACAGAGTAAATGTATCTACTAGTCAGATGCACCCAGGGTATTAAAGGACAGGTTATTATGTAGGACATGAAATAGTGAAGATTTTATGTTGGAGGATCAGGATGAAATGGAAAGAGATCTTGGATGCTTGATCATTATAACTAATGTCAAGCAAGGTAGAAGCATACATATCTAGTACATTTTATGTAAACAAACATTGGAATGAAGTTTTGTGACTTAATCAAAGTTTTTGCAATGGTGCTACATCAAGGGGGGGTCCTGTTATGGTACTGCTCATACCATGACAATTACATTGACATAGAGCTTGTGTCCTCTACTTCTGACACTTAGAAGTTAGTGCTGACTTGGTATTGACTTGGGTGAGTGGACTGTTTGGCAAGCAAGGTGCAACCAAACAACTTGGATTCTTGACTCATGTGCAATTCATGCTGACTCACTGGCAATGGTACATTGTAGAATAGTGTAGAATATCAAACATATATAAATACTGCCCCTCTGAATGCATGGGAGGCATCTCTTAACTTTACCCCACTTTATTCTCATATCTGAGAACTGCTGTAAGCACAAGCAGTTCTTGTAGGACAAGGAAAGGCTTAGTGCTACCCCATCTGAAGCTGTCCTAAGATTGTTTCACATTGCACTAACATCACATTTGATCATTGACTTGCTCTGATCATTCAGCAGTCCAGTACTCAAGTTCCTTACTTGGTTTCAAGTCCCCTTTTACTTTGAAGATACTTACAGAACCTCATGGTCCCACTCACATCTTCTTTCGCAACCCAGGTAGTTATTTCTTTTTGCTCAATTGCTACTGACTACTTGTATTAGTGCTTGGAAGTTAGGTTAATTAACTGGAAAATAGCTGAGACCAGACCGGACCACGGTTAGTGGTTAGTCAATTCTGGAAATGAAATAACCGGTTATTTTGCGGTTAACTAACTGTTAAAAAACCGGTTATGACCGGTTACAACCGACCCTATTATACCCCTTCAAAACACATCTAAAAGCATGAGAAACACTAAAAATCTGACAGAGTTATGGTCAAATCTCTATAATATTGGCTAAAATAGTAGGCTTTCAAGAATATTATTATAAAATTGTCAATTCTTCACCGAATTTGGCGTTCTTGGGCTTGTTTTAAAGCTACGACACATGGCAATAATATTTACTGCAAGGAATATGAGAAATATACGCCATTTTAATCGATTTTCTATTTTTCCGGTCCTAACCGGTTAGTAACTCAACTAACCGGTTTTCGTCGGTTATCTTCGGTCCAGTTAGGTTATTTTGGGTCTGGGAACGAACCCTAACCGGTCTCAGTCTCGGTTAGAGCCCCTGGGCACCCAATAACCTAACCTAACCGGACTTTCAAACACTAACTTGTATACTCATAGGAGTACACAAAAGATTACAAGCTGTATTGTAACAGGTCCAGGATTTGAAAATGCCATATAGAGATGGTTAGCTAGTCTCACTGACAGGCCATCAAAAAAAATTTGACCTCCTATATTTTTAACTCCAAACAGCCTGGAAATGGTCTGAATCAGTCCAAATCATCAAGCTTTTTGATCCAGAGATCAAAGGACCAGTACATTAAATGGAAAGATAAGATTGTGCACCAAAATATATGACACAACTAATAAGATGTCAAGTGATATGTCCTTTTTGCAAGACAGTGGTTGATTGGATTCACAAACTACCTCAAAAGGCACAAACCCAGTCACCAATATTGCCCACCCCCTCAGACTCCATCATGCCAAATTCTTGTGTCTGAAAGCCACTGTGTTGTTGACAGGGTTGTGCATGCATGTGCATTGATGGACTTCCAGACACAATCAAGCTTGTTGGTGTCCACTTGCACAGTTCTCTGGAAGCTTTGAGGGAACAGTCCCTGAAAAAAATGAAGGTGGCAAGATGTTTGATGTTCTGAGGGAATGCTGGATCTGGACATTATGACATAATATTTCTATATATTCCCACACATAGTTAGTTACACTTGAGACCACAACTACAGTGCTTTGTATAATGATTACAATTTCAAAAAATCTGTGCTGCAAAGCACTGTAATATGCTACACATCAGGAAAATCACTTTTTTCCTGGGACAAACATGTTTGTAAGCTTTTCCCCAGGGTGTCACAAGGCATCACAGGATGTCCTGAGACAACTTGAGGGCAACCTGAACTGTCCTGAGATAACCTGACACTACAAGTATACTAGATTTCATTAGAAAGAACATTCATTATTGTATATGAATCATGTATGATCAAGATAAGACTGGAACAAGAAGAAAGTGTACCACTGTCCAGAGATTGAATGACCTACAAAAATTGCAACAACAAAGAAAATAAGGTATCCTTTGCAAAACATATCTGTTTTGTGCATTCTTTCTTGTGCTGAGAAGCAGCATTTAAGCTGCTGTTTCCAACACGTCTATATATGTAGCATTTGGTGCAGAACTCGCAGGGCTATGAACCAATTACTGGCGAAGAATCTGCCCAAAAATGGTAAATGTTATTGGAGGTCACCTTAAACATCGAAATATTAGGGGCTCTCAGACCCGTTTTAAAGCTCTAATTTGTGTGTTTCTAACAAGCCTAAAATCGCATGAAATGGAGGAGAACTCATGATAATATAATATATGTTTCATCTCTACTACAGGCCAAATAGTTTATGCTACAGTTTGTGAGGTACTTTGAATTTTTTACGCTGTAAAGTGGGTTGCATTCACATAAATGAGGTGATTAAAATGAGCCTACATAGAGGCCAAAAGGTGGAAAACTCGTGAAGTTATAGCTACATGCTGCCTCAAAAAGTGTAAGAGTGGATTGATGGAAGTCTGTATGGCTGCAGGATGTCACGTGACACGCTCAACTTACATTTTCAAACTTAGGCAATTTCAGCTGTTACTGCTACGTCTCTTTGCTGTTTCCATTACCTATACACATATGTTTTCATATTTTTTGTGAGTCCATGATATTCTTGCTCTGGTAGTTGTGCTTCACAGGTATAGATAGGTGTTTTAACCATGGCAGCCATGGTCAACTCTACCATTTGTGTTGCACTGGCACTTTCTTCTACCACAATCACCACAACAACATCAAAACTGACAATGTGTGTTGAGCTGGCTCTTTCTTCCACTACAACCACTACGACAATGTCAATGGCCACCACCATCATTGATGAAAGGTGATGACGGCCCACCACCATGACCCACAAATGCCCACCACTGTGCATTGACCACCATCCACAAGCACACACTGCTGCTGTCAATGACAATGAGTCACCATGGCAATGACCTTCAAACAAACGCTAACAAGAATGTGAGCAAGTACCAGAAGGGCAGAAGGGAAGCAAACAGTGTGTCAAGCACACCGATCTCATCACGCATGCATACTAACCTACCCACCCTTGTTTTTTCACTTTTTCTCTAGCAAAATGGCTACACAGCATGCAGCAGAAGATGCAAAATGTGTCCCTGTAAAGTTGACACTGTAATTACCCTCACTATACACTCTCATTTAGAAACTGTACTAACAACTAACATTTTCTCAGCACCCACGTCGATGTTGCTGGCTTTGTTTTTGCCAGTGCCCACCTCGATTTCATTCACGCCCACCTTGACTGCCTCAATTTCAGCCATGCCCACCTTAATCTTATCCACATTGATTTCACAAGTGTCATCTCACATCCCTCACTTGAGAGTTCACAGGGTCCAGTTTAGGTGGCGGAAAGAAGAGTGGTGTGATTTTGATTGGGATTTGAAAACATTTCCATAGACAAGCAATTCTTTGTACACTAATTAAATACATTCAATACATTTTATATATTCAAGTATAGTGTGGTGAGGAAAATTGAAGGCCAAGTAATTAGCATAAGGTTGGCATCAGGGATCCCCAAGGACAGCCCAGGCCACCCCAGGACAACCTCAGTGCACCTCAGGACAACCTCAGTGCACCTCAGGGCAACCTCAGGTTGCTACTGGGAAATCAAAAAAAGGAACCTGTACCTGAGGGTGCTCCAGGGCACCCTGATGCCCTGAGTTCCATGACAGCCTCTGGGTATCCAAGACCCTGGATACCCTCAGGGAAGAAGTGATTTTCCTGATGCATATGTGTAATTATAGGCACTCAAAACTTTGGAATAGCCTAGAATCCTTGTTTTCATGAAATATTTGTACATTCATCATATCACCTCATGTTAGCTAGGTCTCCCAGCCTCATATTTCTAAGCAATCCAAGCAACTCACTCTTCTGCAAACATGGCACAAATATTATGACTTCCTGGATGTGGAACACTATTTGATGCTAGTGCCACTCGAGTAGTGAGACAGCTGTTGGAGCACCTAGCAGACAATGCAGACAGAGGTGTGATGACCCACAGAGTAGGTCTAAGAGGTCAAAGGATCAGGTGCTTGGAGTTGTGGAACATGATGGTTCACGATACCTGTACTCTGATCTCCATGGACAGTCCCAGTGGAGAGTGCTTTGATTGTTGAGTTCAGTTTGCTTCTTCACACATATCACTTACTACTTGGATGGAAGCCATTAGTAGGGCTTTGAATCCAAGGATTGCAAGGGATATGGTGGTAAAGTGATAGATTGGCCTCATGTACTACATGAGGTGTAAATACAGGTGGATGACATAAGCATATTATGAAGCTAAGTGAAGTAAGCATATAATATCATAGTTGCGATCATGTAACGGGGAGTGGAAAGTGTAGAATGTAGGAGCAGGGAGTCGCTCACAATACTGGTGTACTACAAAGCCCCCCCCACTTTCCACTTCCAAGTTAATCCATTCATCTCTCAGGGAAGGTGATGTCATCCAGTGGTTCTTTGTGCCAGTTGGCTTTCAGTCCCACCAATGAGACACCCTCCATCACATTCTGAAAATCTGTAGTGGTTGGCAGGTAGGTTGGGTGATGTTGACCATGCTTGTTATTCCTGATCAAACACTTCCACTTCTCTTGGGTGTGAAGTTTGGCTTTCCCTCTAGCAATGTTGTCAGCGAGCCTGCAGTAGATGTGGTCAAGAGCCATGTTCCATTCTCCTGTCCACAGCTCAAAATGGCTGTTGAAGATATCAGCTGGTGGAAAAAGCCAGCAACCCACACATCTGTTTGTCCCTGGGCAGTAGCCTAACAGAAGATCTTTCTCCTGCTCCAAAACAATGTCATGTGAGAGATATGAAGCATCTTCGGATGTGGAGTTGTAGAAGCCTCTATTTTGGACTGTGACTTGGATGGAGGGCCCTGACATAAAGTCTTCCATGAGTCATGTTCCAGACCAACATTGTGTGATCCAACTCAACTGCCCTCCTTCAGTGATGAAGGCGCATGCGTGGGGGCAGTGTAGGAGGTCATTCATCCAAGTGAGGTACATTGTGCAGAATGTTGCTGCATTATTGGCCAGGGGTAGTGGAGGTTCTTGAAAGCCTACATTGTAGATGAAGGCTGTGGAGCTTCGATTGAGGTTATCAATTATGATAGGGCAGAATCTTCTTACTGAGTTGGGGTTCAGGCCCAGTGAAAGTTGGACATGTGCTGGTCTGGGACTGTCTGCTTGATGTGGGTAGATTCTGTGGAAATCTGCCAAATCTGTGAACATACTGCTTTTTATACTTTCTTTTGGCTTGGAGATGGATCAGAGTTCTAAATTTGTGTTTTGGCCTCCTTCATTTTGCACATTTCTCTCTTGTCCAAATCTCATTCCCCACTTTTTCAACACATACCACCGACACGACACAGCCTTCATATAAGTATTGCCAGATGGATCCCATCTTCTCTCTTCCCACCCACCACCACTCTCCCTATCTGACATAAGTTTCCCTTCACGCACTCCAGCCTGCTGCTTTAGTGAAGCTCTTGATGTCTTAGAGTATGTCTATGCACACTTTTGGTTGTTCAAGTCTCTGTTTGGTATGGTTTCACTGTATATGCTTATTAGTATATGGCTCATGGGATTTACTAGACTCAAAAGGTTGGAGGTTGGGTGCAGCAGACTGAGGATTGTGTATACTGGTATGTCTTGGAGCATTTTGCTGTGACATTACATGCTCATTTCTTTCCACAGGTGTGGAAGAACGAATGTTCAACAGAGGAAACAGAAAACTGGTTGTCTACCGAATCAAGAAGGGGGAAGAAAGGAACAACGGAAAAGGGACAAAGAACAAAGAAAAAGGGACTCAGTGTCTAAGCGTGTGAGTGCGCGCTGATAAAGAGGCTTTACACAATGCAGCAAGAGGGTCATCCTAGTCAATTATATGCATAGAAGAGGAGTTCTTTGTATGCATAGGGACTTGTTCTTGAAGTTCTTTGCAACGTCGTAGGTCGTCTTGAGGTAAAGGCGATGGAACATCGTCAAGGGACAATCTTAAATTCTTGAAGTTCTTAGAGGAAAATAGAAAGTGAGAGAGGGAAAGAAGAATGCTCCATTCGACAGGTGGGAGGACACCTTTATACAACGTACAAATATCACAAGGCATCACACGTACTTGTGTGCTGCCTGACCAAAAAAAGAAGGTTCTAAAAATACAACAAGCCAAAATAAACAGTTCTATCATCACCCATATCCTCTCTCAGCTAATCCTTCAAGTTGGGAATGAGTTGGGGAACTGACGACGTGGGGAGAGGTCTATTTCTGTGCATCACTGTCGCCCTCAGTGCAGACATCCCCAGTGTCGATGCTCAACCCTACCATCAAACCTTCAAGAAAAACTTCAAGCAGAAAAGGATCTGTTAAAAGAAAAATAAAAAAGACAAAAACAATGGATAAAAACGAAAAAGTCAAAAGAAAGAGTGCACAACTTAATCTAAAATCCCGAGCCCCATTCCTTCAAAGTTGCAAGAGTCGAGAAGCCGCCGGAAGGTGCACAGCCACTGATCTTCTTGAATCTGTAGTCTCCTACCGACAAACATCATCCTTCATACTCTCGACTTTTAGTAAAGGAATACAGGTTGAATAAAAGAAAGGTAGAAAAATAATAAAAATAAAAATAAAATTCGAAACTCGAAATAAGGAGGGCGTCATGAGTGGAACAAGGTGCACTTCCAGACAGGCTTTGGTTACGCCAACACACATTGTGAAACCGGGTTGTCGTTCTTGACCTCTCGATGAAGGCGTAGACAAGTGAGGGTAGTGGAGAAGATGCATGGAACATGTGAGAGTGCACGTGGAGTGGTCATGAGTATCGTGGCTGCACTTCCGTGACCCAGTAACCCAGGATGAGTGATGCTGTCACCCAGCACAGGGCTCTGGTATCCTGGAGGGGAGGCACAAGGCTGCCTAGCTGTATACGATAGGGGTGACTCACTCCACATATAAGTTTATGTGAAAGTTGCAAGTGTGTATATATTAGTCTGCCTTGGCACAATATAACAAGAAGACAAACAATGGTAAATATGATGATCCTATGTCATGCAAGATAGGTAATACTACAGTATCACAAAGCCCCCCTGTGAGATTGGAGCATTGTCCACAGTGGTAAGCCCCTTCAGTGTTGCCAACAATGTCTCTTCCATTCCTTGCATTCCTTGTCTCATTTCCTATACCCTTGAATTTTCTCAATACTTATCACTCCTCCACCTATTCCTACTGGATTCCTACTGGATTTCAACATTCTTTCCAAAAAAGCATTTTCACATTCCCCTCCTACTGAACTCCTACTGGACTCATACTGGACTCCGATTGAACTTAAACAAAGTGAATACAATGTTTCAGAGATGGGATTCCTACTGGATTCTTACTGGAGTAACCACTTTCTATCAATATTTTATGAAGTCAGACCTTAAGCCACCTTAGAAGTTCATACAAAGCTGATATTTGAGCATAGAATATTATATTGAAATCTATAGACATAATTGTATACAAAAGGATACTCCTAATCTAATGTGGTCAGGGAGGGAGAGGACAGGGAAGGGGGTAGAAGGAAATGGGGGTGGACAAGGAAGGGACAGGGAAAAGGAAGGGGGAAGGGGGTAGGGACAGGGAAAAGGAAGGGGGAAGGGGGTAGGGACAGGGAATGGGGGAGGGACAATGCTCGCTGTTGTGGGTGCTCAACGTCTTCATGTAGTCGTCGTGTGATGGTGGTCTGGGTGCTTGTCGGGGTGGGTGCTCGTCGTGGTGGGCGCTCATCGTCTTCTTGTCATCGTCACCGTGTGATGGTGGTCATCAACAGGGTCGGATGGGCGCTCATTGTTGTCATGTTGTCGTCTTCGTTAACGGGGTCAGTTGGGATGGAAGAGGGGGGGCACTCACTGTTGTTTGGTTGCCACGTCGCTGATAGCGACGTGGCACCCTCTCATCGTCGTGACATGGCCGTTCCGTTGACCTGGTGGCATGTGTCATTGTCTGTTGAGGTGGCCGTGGGGGTGACGTGGTGGTCCCTCATCGTCCGTTTTCATCGCCTTGGCCTTGCCAGGGGCTCGTTTGTTGGTGACGTGGCCTTCTTGCGTCGTTCTTGATGTGTTGTGGGTGGTGGTGGCCACAGGTGATTGTGGTGACGTGGTGTTGGTCAGTGGGCATCATGGATGGCGTACAGTGGCAGCTATGGGCAGTTGTGAGTGGTGGTGGTGACTGGTGGTGGTGGTGGTGACGAGGCGGCACTGGGTGTGGATGGTGGTGGGAAGAGAGAGGTTTTGGATTGTTGATTACTGTTGGCATGAAATTCTCACTCGCGGAATTTGCCAACATCCATTCTAGGAAAGAGGTCAGCCGGTTGGTATGTCCAGCATATATTATGTATCTATAGTAAAGCTGTCATGGTGCAGCTGGTTAAGCACTACTATTGTACCTGTGCCCAAGAAGTTGAGGGTTCAATTCTACCAGGTTGCGCTTTTTTATATTATATAATAACAATAACAACAGTGACAAACTACCCCTTGTACCTGGACATTCCTACTGGACTCCATTATGCCCATTCCTTAGGAATCCGCAATTCCTTGTGATTTGGGACCATTCCAGTAGGAATTTACTAGGACTCCACTAGGACTGGGATACAAAATTTGTATGGTGATCAGCCAACATGAAATTTGTCCCAGTCCTAGTCCAGTCCGGTAGGATTCTGGGAGTCCAGTAGGAGTCCGGTAGGAATAGGTGGAGGAGTGTAAAGAGCTCAATTTTCTGTCCACTCTGACGTCCTCTCTTCATCCTCTTATAGTCTGGTTCCCTATCGTCCTCAAGATCAATGGGATCCTCATCCATAGAATTCTGTGCAGGATGCAGGTCTTCTGGAGTGACTAAGGGGGCTGTTGCAGGCTGTACCGCATACCGCGCCTCCCCAGGAGGGGCAGAGCTTCCCATAGGTGCATCTTCCAACATTCGATCAGCCAGTGTCCACTGAGCAGGATTCGAGAGCCTGGTAGCTAGATCAGAAGACACTGCGTCGCTCAACCTGGCAGACAGCCGTTCCGTCATTCGAGACATGAGGGGGACACGTTCCGATAGCGTTGATATGGATGAAACCATTTCACCCGTATAAAATTCAATTTTAACGATTTTACCGATAAAGGTCATCTCTAATAAATACACTACATACAATTGCAATGATACAAAGAGTCAATACGCATACCCGGCGCAGTTGACTAAAAATGCAAATGCGTGGAATCTGAAAATAGGGCAAGGCTTTGGAACTGGCAGCAGTATGTGTCGTGACATTATACTTGGATCCTATCTAAGATTCACCTACCATGAAATAGAGCACGAAGAGGTTCTAGAGTAAACACCCAACGCAGGGAGAAGAATTGCATTACTACCAAAGGGTTTAGAAACACATAATGGATTTATTGTGAAAACTCATGCTTATACAAGAAATACAGAAAAGGCGACATAGATGCTTAAACGGCATGTCTGAAACATTGAAAGACTAAACTACACCTAGGTAGTAAACATACGAAGACTTAGTGTGGCTCACGGCCATTCAGAAAGTCATGTACGGCAGTTCCCGCGTACGCATCAAAGACTGATGTGTCTGAACGTCACAAGTACAAACATGAGAAAAAGACACATTCTATTATATGAAATATAATAAGAACCCCCTGACAATTAAGAAAGACATTTGAAAAACACCTTCGGAGTGTCTCCCGACCTCCATAATGAAAAGACGAGCCAAGACAAGGCATTTTAATTAAAAACTCGGAAGCGACGGAAGGCCGAAGACTATTGGTAAACGCGTACGCATGCGCATCAACGCATCAGGAAACGTTAATCATTTTGTGATGTCATCTGTCAAACCGGTAAACCGGGCCATAGAAAGAAACATGCGAGATCATGCCAAGCTAAGAATAGCTACGTCGGCTAACTCCGCGTACGCATCAAACAACTGATGCGTTTGAAAATGAAAGACGCGACACTACAAAATCTGTAGTGTTCACAGAGATAGACTACAAAATATACCACACGTTCATTAAATTTCATATTTGTAATTCGGACCGAAGTATCCCGCTTTAAAACACATGTAAAACGTAGATAGGGGTTCCTGGAGTATATAAGGAGCGCGCTGGCAGGTCAAAAGGCAAGCAATCGTCCCCCGTTGACCAGCTAGTTGCACTCCAAGTAGAGACTTAGGAGGTGGACAGTTGTAATCAATTAAAGGAGATTTCTTCATGGTCAGAAAAGTACAGTGTGAACGAAGCCAGCGTGCTTGGGAGTCAACTTACTTGGAGACTTTTGAATAAAAGGTTTTAAAAAAACACAGTATCATTTAAAACGAGACAGCGTACTCGTACCCTTGGTTTTGGAGTGTAGTGACATAATAAAAACTCACGGGAGTCATAAAAGTTAATTGAAGTTGTGTTTTAGTGTTAATAAAAGAAACTGTGATCAAAGAACCTTGCATTTAAGAGACCAAGTTCCCAGAAAGACATACATTGTTCTATTGAACTATTCTAAACCACACCGTATAATAAAAACCCGTTTTGAGACGAAATCTCTTGAGACTTAAAACCTAAGAAGACAAAAGTGGTATTTCTTAATACCAAAGGCCCTCGAACTCTTGCACCGAGATTGTGATAGTGTGTGCGTGTGTGTGTTAGTGAGTGTTAGGTGTTTTAGGGTTTTCCCCGACACGCTTGATCCTCGTTTGCATGTTTCGCACTTTCACGTTCATCCCTGTGCAACACGTATCAGCGTGGGGAGGGAGACCGTTGGTAATGTCTTCTAAAGTAATCAGAATGCGCAGGTGATCATTGTCGAGGGGGGGGTGAGGGCCTCCTGCCTGCACAGTAGTGATCCATTGAGGGAGATCACTGTTGAGCATCCCGAGACTTACAACATTCTCTGACATCCCTAACTCGGGAGGACTAGCTGGCCGTGGGGTTTGGAGCTGGGAAGGGTCTCTGATCCTTGACAATTGTTGTGGAATCTGGCCATCTGTGGGAAGAACGAGCAAGGGCTCTGACGTAATCTCCGTAATCTGTGTAGGCGACTAGCAATTCTCTGTTGTTTTCTCTCCTGTGATGCATGTACATTCTCATTTGCCGTGCTTGATCCACCGACTCCATCTCGAACCAAAAATTCTGACTGTGAACAGGAAATGGGGGAGGGACAATGCTCGCCGTCATGGGTGCTCGACGTCTTCGTGTAGTCGTCGTGTGATAGTGGTCTGGGTGCTTGTCGGGGTGGGTGCTTGTCATGGTGGGTGCTTGTCGTCTTCATGCCGTCGTCGCCGTGTGATGGTGGTCGTCAATGGGGCATTTCAAGAAGCATATGATCTATCATGACGCTATCTATGGTTGCCTGCTATGGAGAGAGAAATCAAATGATGGGATGCTCGTGGAGTCATCACCGCTGTCCCTCGTCCAAAAGGCGTTAAAACCATTAAAGGGAAATGGATTTATGATTTGAAAGTCAATGGTATAGGGAACCTGCTCTGAAGGAGAGCTCGTGGGGTGGTTAAGGGATTCTCTCAAAAGTTTGGAGAACATTGGTGGGACTCGTTCGCCACTGTGGTGAGATACAAATCCATTAGGATGCTATTCGCATTGAGCGCGTCGCTCAGACTTTGTCTATGGCTACTCAACTTTGTCAGCACGTACCTCAACGCTGTTCCCCAAGGCGAAAACTACCTAGAAATTCCTGAAGGCTTTGAGAAGCACTATGGGATTATAGGCGTCGACACTGTCCTCCTCATGAACCTCACCATCTATGGTACAATGGATGGCACTAATAACTGGTTCCGCGAGCTCAATGCAACATTCATTAAACTCAGCCATCGCCAATCTCACGCGGACCCTTGTATTTGGATCCAATGGACAGACAAAGGGTACACAATAAGCAGAACATATACCAACGACGTTACAGGAGGATCTTCTTCCTCTGAAAACGAGATTGAAGCAAAAACTGGACTTGGAGATGCCTATGAAATTACAGACCTTGGTCGACCAGATAAGGTTCTTGGTATGACAATCAAACACCACGACTCCAGCGACATCTCTATTCACCAACACCCTTTAATCCTGAAGACTGTCGCTACATTTGGAATGCAAAACGCGAACCCAAAATATATGCCTCTTCCCCCAAATGTCAACCTCACAGACTCACAACCAATTCCGATCCCACAAACTGACATCGAGTTCATAAAAGACAAGGATTACTGGAAGGCCCTAGGGATGCTCAACCACATTGCAAATGGAACACATCTGGACATCTCTTTCACCGTGAACATGTTAATGTGCTACGCATCTGACCCTCGCCCTTTCCATTGGCGCCTCGTTCAGCATTGCATCGCCTACCTTAAAACCACTGCAAACCTTGCTATTATGTACCAAAAAGGCAAGAGCATCAAACCAATCGGATACTCTGATTCTTCATATGGCGACGAACCAGATTCGCGCAAATCTTCAGCAGGATTCATATTCAAATCAGCTGGCGGGCTTGTTTGTTGGAAATCCAAGACACAGAAAAGGGTGAGCATGTCTACCGGCGAGGCAGAGTTTGTGGGAGTATTCGAAGGTGGAAAGCAGGCGAAGTGGATGTATTTCTGGTATACTGAGGTCAACCAACATTTCGACCTTCCAATAACCGTCTATTGCAACAACGACTCCGCCATTGCACTTACTCAAAACACTGGCGGCCATAGCAAAATAAAACACGTTGACATCAAGACTCATTGGGTTTGCGAGGCGGTCACCCTCAGCGAAATACTTGTCGAACCTACCTCCTCTGAGGAGAACATCGCGGACTTATTCACCAAGTCACTTTCTCATCCAAAACTCGAAGTCCTTATCAAGAAAATGGGAATGGAATACCTCAATATCTAATCGACCAAGCTACGGGTTCAGGGGGAGTGTTGAGGTTTGAACCCATACCTCCTTTCCTGATCGAATGACTTCATTAGTTTGTTCTTATTATCCCCTTTACTATTTTCTTCCTTTCTTTCTTTGCACTTTCCTCAGCCATTTACTCTTGTACAATGTCTGAGGTGTGTATCTTATTTTATATTATTCATACTTCTTACTTACAGTCTCTGATAGTATACTTATCATATTCTAACAGGTAGAGACTGAATAAAGCTGTTTACTCTTGTACAACGTCTGAGTATACTTATCATATTCTAAGTTCTAAAACAACCAGACACCTGTCAATGGTTTCTCAATGGAAATACATTTTATGGGTGGCTAAAACAGCCTGGCTTTCTCTGGATCAAAGGAAAATGTAAGTTTTCTGTTAGAATTTGTAAATGTATTTGTTATTGACAGTCTATCCAGCTGGCTCTGGTAAAACCATTTTGAGGTTGACAATTTCAACATTTTTATGATATTAAATTGATTTTTCTTTTTACAGCTCTGCAATAATTCACAATATTCTCCAAAAATTCAATTCTGCTACTGCATATTTCTTTTTTGATGGAAGAGACTTACAGAAGGATTTCGAGCTACATGATAAACTACTGTGATCACTCATCTGGCAATTCTCTTCCAAATGTGAGGGTAGATTGCCTAAGGTCTTGGGGAATCTGTATGCTTGCTGTAACAATGGCCATCAAGAGCCAACTCTGGGTGATCTGCAGAATACTCTTCAAATGATTCTTGATGGCTTTAGCTCAACATTCATCATTCTGGATGCTCTTGATGAATGTACTGAAAGAGGAAAGCTTCTTAACTGGATTCAGACTTTTATACTGGGGAAAGATAAAAACTTGGGCTTCACTTGATAGTTACCAGCCATTCAGAACAGGAGATTGAGGACAAGTTCAAGTTTTCTTGTTATATTGACTTGGTTGAGGAATCTGAGAATCATGATCTTGTAGCCTATCTTGACTATCAGCTTCAGAATGATTCTGACTTGAAAAAATGGAATTCTGACACTCAAGAGCAAATAAAGTTGAAGTTAATGGAACAAGCAGATGGAATGTATGTTTATTATCAACATTTGAATGACAGGATGATTATTCAACACAATTTTAGGTTTTGTTGGGTTGCATTACAGTTAAATGAGCTTAAAAAGTGCCGGACTAAGAGCAATCTGAAAAGGCAGCTAGCTGATCTACCTCAGGGTTTGGACAAAACCTATGATCAAATCTTACTGGGAATCAATGAAAAAGATCATGGTTATGCCAAAACCTTTCTACAGTGGCTGTCTTTTGCTGTTTGTCCACTGAGACTGGAAGAGTTGGCTGCAACTGCTTCTATTGACCTTTCTGCTGAAAATGGACCAGAGTACAATTCTGATAATGAACTTCAAGATATTAAGGATGTCTTAAAAATTGGTTCTAGTTTTCTTATGGAATCAGAAGGTGTGGTTTAGAAGAATGACAAATTGGAATGAGCACTGACCATTGAACAGATTTTATCAAGCTTTCTCACTTTTCTGTCAAAGAATATCTGATATCTCAGTATGTTCAAGGCCACAATGTGAAGCAAGTCAGATACCCAGTTTCAGTGAGGAGCCATCACACTATGTTATATCTCAAATCTGTCTGGCCTATCTTCTGCAATTCGACATGTCTGAGCCTCTTCATATACAACTGGATCATACATGCACATTCTAGTTGCAAGAGTCAATCTCAGTCATCTTCAATGTTTGCATTGATTATGAAGCTTCTGACTGCTGGAAATAATGCTTTTGTGAACTGGGTTCAAATTTATGATATAGATAGAACCTATAGGAAAAAACAGAGGGACAAGATCCCTAAACCACTGTATTATGTATCACTTGCTGGACTAACTGAAGTGTCATATGTTTTGTTGGAAATGAGGGCAGATGTAGATGCACAGGGAGGATTCTATGGAAATGCACTCCAGGCAGCATCATATGGAGGCCTTGAGGCAATTACAAAGCTGCTTATAGAGAAGGGAGCAGATATAAATGCAGTAGGAGGATATTATGGAAATGCACTCCAGGCAGCATCATTTGGAGGCCATGAGGCCATTGCAAAGCTGCTTATAGAGAAGGGAGCAGATGTAAATGCACAGGAAGGACACTTTGGAAATGCACTCCAAGCAGCATCATATGGAGGCCATGAGACAATTACAATCCTGCTCATAGAGAAGGGATCAGATGTACATACACAGGGAGGACACTTTGAAAATGCACTCCAAGCAGCATCATATGAAGGCCATGAGGCAATTTTAAAACTGCTAACAGACAATGGAGCAGATGAATATGCACAGGGAGGACATTATGGAAAGGCACTCCAGGCAGCATCATATGAAGACCATTAGGCAATTGCAAAGCTGTTCATAGAGAAGGGAGCTGATGTAAATGCTAGTCAGATGCACCTAGGGTATTAGACAATAGGTTATTATATTACTTAGGATGTGAGATACTGAAGATTATATTGAGGATCTGGATGACAATGAATAAGATATGTTGGATGCTTGATCATTTTAACAAAGGGAGTTGAGGTATAAGCATTCCTTCTACATTTTGTGGAAATAAACCTTAGAATGAAGTTTTCTGACTTGCATAAAGTTTTTAGAATGGCATGACATTTTGATATTTGGTATTCAATGCAGCTTGGAGATTAGTAATGTTTTAGTATATTGATTTGAAATGACATTCAATCAGTTACTTGATAGTGATGAAAGAGTCCTAACATACAGAAGCATTTGTAAAGAAAAAAATTCCAGCATGAAGACTTCAAGTATCTTTATAAAATAGCTTGAAATTCAAAAGGGGAAGAAAAGAAGAGAAAGGAGGAGATCATTAAATTTGCTGAAGCTCGCATCAAACAAAAAGAGGAAAGGAGGAAGAAACAACAAGAAAATGCTCTTAAAAGAGCTGTAAGAGTTGCATCTGTTCAGCTCATATTCAATAAGGATGAGATTGACAAACAGAAGTCACAGAAACTACAGGATCATGTTGAGGCATTCATCAATGCAGGTGCACCAGGCTTTGAAGGAATCAAGACAAAAACTAAGGTGGGCCTGAAAAGAGAGGCTCTGAAGAAGGCAATTGATGCAAAGGAAAAAGGCACCTGGATACCCAAAACTGTGCAAGATGATGACTTTGATTCTAATAGTGACTCAGGAGAATCATTTTCAGGTTTGGATGCGCTTCACAACAGCAGGGAAAGTGATTGGGAGTGCTCAGATGATTCAGATGAATTATCAGATATAGACTGAAGTTGTTGAAGGAACTATGCAATTTTAAACCACATTTGCACTTAATTTTTTACCTTGTACATGTAGTAAATATACTAAAGCTATTTGTAGTGTAAAAAAATTTCAAGTGGTTCCTGCAATTGTTGAGATAGAGGCCCAGAATGAGGTGGGTCAGCATTTTCTGGGTATTGTGACATCAGGTGTGATGTCACATGGCCAAGTAACTGTGTGATGTTGCCCACCCTAGGATTCACTCACCATGAAATAGAGTACAAAGTGACTCTAGAGTAAACTACCCAATGCAGGGACAAGATTGCATTACTACCCAGGGTTTGGAGACAAGTAATGATTTTAATATGGAAACTTGGTCTTTTATCATGTGATAAGACTACCAAGACTTCTAGAGGATAAACTGCATGTGGACATTATGAAATAATGTTCTACTACTAGGAAGACTATACTGTGACTATGTAGTATATGTACAAGGACCAAGCATGGCTTGTGGCCATGTAAAGTGTTGAGTATGGCAATTCCTGCATACACATCAAAGAGTGATGTGTTGTATTGTCCAAGGCACATGATGTGCACACCTGGAAAGACATTAGGTAATCCATTCTGTGTCTGCATACACATCCAACACATCAGCCTGCTAGTGTTCGCAGGTCCAGTTAAGTCCAGTTTTTTACCTCAAAACGACGCAACTGGCAACCGCAACCGGTCTAGACCGATCCAAATATTGAGGGACCGCAACCGGACCGCTTTGGACCGGTCTTTTTCGGTCCACAACGCAAAAAAAACCGGTCCAGACCGGTTGCGACCGGTCTTTTGTTGAAAAGTTTATTGTGCCAGATATATTAAATGTTACCTCACGTACATAGCATGCGTAGATAGATAATTTAATTCTCCGTACGCTGGCCAAGATTTGAAGCGAATCGGTCAAGATTTGACTGAGATATGGTGAAAACGGAGAGAACATACATTCAAATTGCGTATAAAAATGTTTTTGGCCATATCTCAACCAATTCTTGACCGTTTTTGATGATTCAGGGACCGAAAATTAAGTAAAATGTGCACGAGTAAGGTACAATATGTGATGAGACGAAAGACCGGTTGCAACCGGTCTAAACCGGTCTTTTTCGGTTTTTATATATTTACAAAAACATGGCAACTGGCAACTGGACTGATCACAAATGTGGGCAACTGGCAACTGAAAAAGACCGGACTGTGGTTCAGTCCAGTTCAGTCCTATGTATATTTTCAGTCCTGTAGACTGGACCTGCGAACACTACAGCCTGCCCATCACTAAAATGACATGATATGTCAAATTGGTAGCCAAGCCCATGAGAAAGAAGCATGTGGGACCAGTCCAGACTAATGATAATTAAAAACCGGATTGTTCCATGTACACATCAAATACTGATGCATTCACAAAAGAAGGATACCAACACTACAAAATCTGTACTGTACCACAAGAGAGATACTACAAACTATACCACACATTCATTAAAAGTTATTTGTATTTCATTTGTAATTCAGACTGATATAAAACCATAGAAAATCACATGTAAAGCATAGATAGGGGTTTTGGAGTATATAAGGAGCACACTAGCAGGTCAAAAGGCAAGCAATCGCCCCCCCTGTTGACCAGCTAGTTGCACTCCAAGTAGGAACTTGGGAGGTGGACAGTTGTAATCAATTAAAAGAGATTTCTTCATGGTTGGAAAAGTACAGTGCAAACAAAGCCAGCATGCTTGGGAGTCAACTTACTTGGAGACTTGAATAAGAGGTTTTAAGCACAGTATCATTTAGACAAGACTGCATACTCGTACCCTTTGTTTTGGAGTGTAGTTAGTGTTCGCAAGTTCAGTTCAGTCCAGTTTTTTGCCCCCAAAACACGCAACTGTGGACCGCAACCAGTCTAGGACTGACCCAGATATTGAGGGAACTGAACCGAACCACCTAGGACCGGTCTTTTGCAGTCTATGGAGCCGGTTCAGACTGATCCAGACCACTTCAGTCACCCATTTTTGGGTACCTATGAGGTTATCCAATTCTTTGAATTAGGGAACCTTAGTGGTACCCCATTCCAGAGTGGTATGACCCTCATACCAATTCCATCATACCATGGTATGGATGCCACATACCATTCCACCTCATACCATACCATACCATTCCATTCCATACCATTCCATACCATACCATTCCATACCATACCATACCATTCCATACCATCATTCCATAGCTGTCACAGGGTGTCTGGGGTCCTTTTTACAAAATATGAAAATTATTTCTCCAGGCTGTAATACTGATCCATTGGGCTCCATTTTTTGTGGACTGGTTCTTCAGATTTCTTCTGACATTTTAAGCTACAAGTGGAGGCTATAGGGTGAACTTGATCCTTTGAAAATTCACTTGAAAATTAGCTTGATTGGGCTTTATCCCAGAGTTTGGCCATTTTCACTGTGGATAATCCATCACAAGCCACTTAAAAGTGTATATCTTGCAAGGCCATTTATATTCATGACAAATAAATTAATGTTGTATCCATTATAATGGCATGGCCTCTGAAGGAAAACAAGAATTTTGCAAGACTTTATTTATTGCAAAGGCATGAACTTTAGCCAAATTACTACCCAAGGCAAGGATGCCTTCTTCAGATAGAATATGTTCAAAATTTGACATTTATGAAAAAGTATGGGGTCATTCCATAGGAATGGGATCATCAAAAAACTTGGATTTGGAATCTCCTCATATCTGCCACTCAGCAGAGCTGGCATTGTGGGGAATTTTGATTTGAACATTTGAACACAAGCAGGCCAAGACTTCTAATTACAAGCTTCAAGGTATCATTATTAAATATAGCTATTCTAATTTAAATCAAAATTCTGTCTTTCATACAATTAA